AGTTATTTATGGAGAGAAAAGATAGGAATTACTTTAGCTGAAACATTAAGAATCTGCTAAAGAATAAGAAGCGAATATGTGTAGCTCAGGGTTGAACTGTGGAGTCCTTGGGGTTCTCTGAGCTTGGTTCTTTTCTTGCAAACATTTCATTGCCCGGGTAGGTAACGTCTTCAGTGCTAAAATGGGATAGGGTTTGCTCTAATCAAGGAACTACCAGAGGAGCAAAACAAAACCCCCACCCTTACCAGCACTGGCAAGGCAGGCCGCACCACATAAATAGAGAGCAAACCCCATCCCATTTTAGCACTGAAGATGTTACCTAGCCGGGTAATGAAACATCTGCAAGAAAAGAGCCAAGCTCAGAGAACCCCAAGGACTCCACAGTTCAACCCTGAGCTACACATATTCGTAACGTCTTCAGTGCTAAAATGGGATAGGGGTTGCTCTAATCAAGGAACTACCAGAGGAGCAAAACAAAACCCCCACCCTGACCAGCACTGGCAAGGCAGGCCGCACCACATAAATAGAGAGCAAACCCCATCCCATTTTAGCACTGAAGATGTTACCTAGCCGGGTAATGAAACATCTGCAAGAAAAGAGCCAAGCTCAGAGAACCCCAAGGACTCCACAGAATAAGAAATAAGGCCCAAGAAAATAGACAGTTGCAGTGGTTTTGGCAAGTGTTGAGGGTAGGGGCAAGGATTTTGATCTGTATGTACCAAGTGAACAGAAGAGACACTGAAGATGTTGAAGAGAGGGAAATTGCAGCAATAAATTGTCTCCTTGGACATAAGGGGTTTTCTGGTCCTGGGGAGAGAAAGGACCCTGAGAATTCCTGTCACTAAGAACAGATAATGAACTGGCTAGATGGAAAAAGACATCTTCCTCTAAGGCGGTTCTCTATGTGCAGTGCCTGTTCTATATTTATTAACTAGTCTGAAAAGTGACTACTTGATTTTCTATATATACTCTAATAGTCAAACAGAGCTTACATAGCACAAGCAAGGAACTGGTTTGCATAAAACTTCAGAAGTGAAACCTTTTACTTCCTAACTCTTTCTTAGAATGTTCCTTTTTGCACAGTGTTCATTCTATCATTCTGATGTGATCAGTATGGTAGACAGTTTTTTCCCTTGCATCTTCCCATCTACATATAGAAACGAGTGTGGTTGGTGTTTCAGGTTAACATTTGGTTTAAATGGTAACAGGGATCAGGTTTCAGGGAAATATAACTGGTTAATAAAGTGACAAGAGAATGTAGACACATTTCTATACTTAACAGGAAGCACCAGATGCTTGATGTGGCTTGAACTTGGAGCCTTAGGTAAACCAACTGTTAGATGTGCAGTAGCTGCTGGAAAGCTAGTTTCAGAAATCCTGTGTGATTTGATGAGGCTGAATCTTGAAGTTCCTGATACCTCCCACTGAAAAAAGCAGAATAATTACCTGTTGAATTTCTCTCCCCCACCCCTGAGTGATAAATAGTATTGCTTATTAACAACAAGTGCCTTCTTGACTTTAACACATTATTTTCAGGATAGGGGGGAAAAAAACACATAGAACTGAAAGTCTTCTCCAGAATTAGCTTTTGGTTCATCAGTGGCAGCAACAATGACAAAATCTACCATCCAGAACCAACCTTTATAGAGTAATTAAAGATATAATAACAGTGCAACTGTGAATGGCTGAGTGCCATACTTAGCAGCCAAGCCATCCCTTAGCAGTCTGGTCATATAGCAACTTTCTGCACTACCTACAGCTTCTGGATGAAGTGGAAGGACAGCCATACATAGAGAAAATTACAATAATAGAAATCTAAGGCTGCCAGTGCATGAACAGTAATAACTAGGCTGTTTCTTTCAAGGAAAGGGTATTAATGCTATACTTACTAGTGCTACACATACCAAAGAAGGCACTCCTGGCCATAGAGGTCAGAGCCTTCCAATAATATTATGACTCTTAGAACACCTTGAGATATGTACCAGTTCTTTCTGAGGAGATACAATCCTATTGCAACTCTGGATGGATGGATGAACAGATGGATAGACAGACTTGACCATGAAAACTGCAAAGCTCTAGCATCATTTTATAAGAATACTTCTGGGTACTACATAGGTCTCATAATCCTTCTTAGAAAATAAAAAATTATGAAAGACTTCAGGCCAATTGTTTCTTTAGAAATATACCACCAACACGAGAAAAAGTCAGCTTCGGGAACATCATGGAGGGCTGGAGGGGAGGGTAAAGAGTTTATGTTCTTCTGAATGGATATTGGACACACCCATCTAGCTTGACTTGCTGCTCTATGATTTGTTATCAAGTGAAAGTATGCCAGGTATGCCCACTGGCCCACAAAGTTGCCTATACATGAAATAAGACATTGGACACTGCATTTATACCTGATTGGATCTGGTAGCAGCAATACAGGTTCTCAAACATGGGTTTTTGTGATGAAATGGAGGTTTGTTGTGTCATCCATGTTATAAAAAAAGTATATAAAAGAAACCAGCCTGGTTATTGAGTTGTATTATTTACTAGGTTTTGTGAGGATGATTATGACATATGTATCATGTCTTCTTGAGCAAAGTCAGTTCACATGTGTTTGCTGTATGCAGGAATACCTGAAGGTATAGCTTAGAGAAACAAAAAGAAGATCAGTCAGATGATGGGAATAGGCTGCCA